GGGGGGGGGGGGGGTCTCTCTACCTCTGTCCAGGCGGTCAGGGCGGAGACGAGGGGCGCGGGCGGCATGAGCGGCTGCGCGGGCGGGAGCGGTGCGGTCCGGCGCTGCTCGAGGTGCTGCAGCTCCGTGGCGAGGTCGGCGCGGGCGGATACTCGCGCGGAGAGCGCGTCGATGACCTGCTCGAAGCGGCGCAGGGCGGGCAGCGCGTGCGCAGACACGGCGCCGGACGGGAGCTCCGGGCCAAGCTCCTGCGCCTGGGACGCACTCAAGAGGGGAGGGGTGGGGCTAGCTGGACGGTGAAGAGGCGGGCCGGCGGGCTCCGAGCTCGAGCTGCTTCACCCAGCGGAAAGGGACGGAGGGAAGCAGCGCCACGAGCGCCTCGTCCGGCGCCAGGCCGGAGGGGAGGCTGGGTGGCGGGCGGGAGGTCGGCGCTGAGGCGAGGAGTCCCGCTGAGGCGAGGCAGCAGAACTGCAGCTGCAGCTCCCCCCCTCCCTCCGCGACTTCTCCGTCGTCCGCAGCCTCGCCCTCCTCCGCCTACCCCGCCAGAAGCCCTTTCCCTTGTGAAAAGGCTGCGCGTGTGAAGAGCCCCCCCCCCCCCCCCCCTCCCCCCTCCCCTCCCCTCCTACCACCCCTACCCCCTCGCGCCTCTCCGTCGCCGTCCGCCTCGCCCCTCCCCGCCGCCTCCCGAGCAGCCGGCCGGAAAGTCACCCTCACGCGCAGCAGGTGCAGCCGACTCGCCTCGTCCTCCTCGGCCTCCTCGTTCGCCCTCCTCCTTCTCCGCCTCCTTCGCGCCGCCGCCCGCCGCCCCGCCGCTCGCCGGGGTGGCGCCGGGCCCTTCCTCGGCCGAGGCGGCGCTCGAGACCTGCAGGAAGGGTCAGGGAAGGGTCGGAGAAGTCTCGCGGACACTTCCTCCGGCAGAGGCGGCGGCGAGGCTCACTCGAGATATGGGGAGATATGGGGGAGATATGGGGGAGATGTGTATGCGGCGAGGCTCACTCGCTGCCGCTTGGCGCGGCGCGGAGACGGAGAGGCGAGGGCGGTGCCTGCGGGCGGGCGGGAGAGTGCGGTGCGGCCGGGCGGCGGTCCAAATGCTTTCTTTTCTTTTTTACGAGTGTCAGCACTCGAGCACGCTCAAAAGCCACCCCTACGGCACCCGCCTGGCGCCTGCTTTCCTCTAGTCGCATCCTGAATCTCGCTTGTGCCGCAGGCGGGACACCTGCATGAAGCGCTTCCTCCTGCTGCTCGTCAGCTGCGCACGCCGTGCGTAACCTTGCCCACCTCCAGATCCCACCTCCAGCAGCCGCGTGGATCACCCCCTGCTGCGTGTGCCGCAGGCGTGTTCGCCCAAACACCTTGCGAGGAGAATATCTGCAACGGCGGTATCGACGAGAGTGGACACCTCGACTGCTCGTCCGAGATCTCCATTCCCCCGGTGCGCCCGCCCATCCAGCTCAAAAGCAGCACTCGCTACTCCCCGCGCTCGTCCGGCGCGCTCCACACCGGGACCCGCACTCCCTTGCTTCGCAGGGGGCCTTTCAAGAGTGCAATGGTTTCAACAGAGGTCGCTATGTGGGGACCCCTTCGGATGGATTCTACATCGGTGTCAAGTCCGTCACGTTCGGGTCGAGCCTCGAGAACATCGGCGCGAACGCCTTTGACGGTTCGACGCTTGCCGGCAACCTCGACCTGAGTGTCGCAACCAACCGCCTCACCATCGGCACTGTGCGCGCTCCGCCCCCTGCCCTCCCGCTTTCTCCCGACGCCCAAACGCGAGCCGCCACGCCCCCCGCCCTATCGCTGCAGAAAGCTTTCTACCTTAACACCGGCATCACCTCCGTCACCTTCGGGTCGAGCCTCGACATTGGAAACTGGGCCTTCTACGGCTGCACGAAGCTCACCGGCACCCTCGACCTGACCAACGCAACAACACTCGACATGGGCGATGTGCGCCCCCCCCCCTCCTCCCCTCCCGCTTTCTTCCGACACCCCACGCCAGCCGCCACGCACCGCCCGCGCTGCAGGACGTCTTCGGCGGAACCGACATCACGAAGGTCCTCCTTGCGTGCGGCGAGTCCGTCAGGATTGGGGCCAACGACTTCCCGGCGGTGGCCACGATCGTCAAAACCTGTCCGCCGGCATCGCCTCCCTACTCTCCGGACAAGGCGCCCAAGCCGCCGCCGGCCTCGCCCTCCCCGCCGCCGCCGCCGGCTCCGCCCTCCCTGCCGCCGCCATCGGCCTCGCCGTCCCCGCCGCCGCTCCCGCCGCCACCACCTTCGGCCTCGCCGTCCCCGCCGCCGGCCTCGCCGTCCCCGCAGCCGCCGTCCCCGCGGCCGTCACTGCCGCCGCCGCCGGCGACGCCCCCGTCGCCGCCATCTACCTCGCCCTCGCCGCCGCCGCCGTTGGCCCCGCCGTCCCCGCCGCCGCCGTCGGCCTCGCCCTCGCCTCCACTTGGCGTGGACCCGCAAGCCACGGACCCGGCGCCGTGCTTCCCGAGCTCGGCAATGGTGCAGCGCGCCGACGGCGAGACCGTCCCCCTCTCCTCCCTCTCCGCCGGCGACTCGATCCTCGCGGCGGCGGCCGACGGTACGCTCGATTTACGAGCGGGGAGTTGGGGGCTTGGTCTAACACTGTCGCTACTTACTAATACTAGGCACCCTCGGCCTCGACACCGTCTCCTCCTTCTCGCTGGCCGACCCGTCCGCCAAGGCAGCCTTCCTCTCGCTCGCCACCGCAACGGCGACGGTCACGCTCACCCCGACGCACAAGCTGCCCGCCGGCCCGGCAAAGGCGCTCAAGCAGGCGTCCGAGGTTGCCGTCGGCGAGACGGTCTGGCTCGCGGCCGCGGGCGCGCTCGTGCAGGCGTGTGTGTGCGCGCGCCTCACCCCCCCAAAAAA